TCTCAAAGTTGACCATGAGATCTTCAAAGATGCGTTGTGCAATTTTAACAGGGAACTACGTAGAACGAGGGAAATGAACTTTTCTGAAACTATTGAAGGCTGTAGCAACAATCTACGTGTTCTGTTTTCAACAGTAAATAGATTGACGAATCCCCCTGTTAAGATGCCATCAGAACTTACTTCCAAATCTAAATGTAATGAGTTTGCTCAGTTCTTTAATGACAAAGTCCAAGGTATCAAAAACGCCATCACCTCCACGATAGAAATAATAATCCAACCGCCAGTGAGGCTTTTTGGGCTGACGCACTTTACACCAGTACAAATTGAAACTGTCCAGGAGATAATCACTAGTCTGAGTTCCTCCACATGCAGCCTGGATGTATTACCTCCTAGATTTCTCAAGTCAGTTCTGAGCAGTCTTTTACCTTCACTTACACAAATAGTTAATATGTCTCTTGAATCTGGAACATTCCCAATGGCCTTGAAAACGGCGGTCATCAGGCCCCTCCTAAATAAGAGGAGTCTGGAAGCCCTGGCACTCAAAAATTATCGGCCCATTTCAAATCTGCCTTTCATGGGAAAAATTCTAGAAAAAGTTGCCTATCAACAACTTACAGAATTTTTAATAATCAATAACGCTTATGATATGTTCCTGTCAGGGTTTAGACCCCACCACAGCACTGAGACCGCGCTAATAAAGGTAACAAATGACATCAAACTAAACACTGACGCAGGAAAAGTCTCAGTCCTTTTTCTGTTAGATTTAAGTGCTGCTTTTGACACTATTGATCATGGCATCCTCATTCAGAGACTTGAGGACTGGGTTGGTGTTGCTGGCACCGCCCTAAGCTGGTTTAGGTCCTATTTACAAGACAGAAAGTTTTTTGTGGAGATCGAAAACTGTACCTCAGACCACTTGGCCCTGACCTGCGGAGTGCCACAGGGGTCAATCCTGGGTCCTCTTCTGTTTAATATTTACATGTTGCCTCTAGGTCAGTTGATTCACAGTAATAATGTCTCTTATCACAATTACGCTGACGATACTCAGGTCTATGTGTCCCTGACAGCAGGAGAGCATGAACCAGTGGACTCGCTCCTTCACTGTGTCCAGCAAATCGGTGATTGGATGCAAAATAACTTTCTCCAACTAAACACCGACAAAACTGAAATAATTGTTTTCGGACCCCAGAAACAAAGAGAGAGCGTTATTTGTCACCTCCAGGCTCTCTCTCTACAACCCTCAAATCAGGTCAGAAATCTAGGAGTGATAATGGACTCAGACTTAAATTTCAAAAGCCACATAAAATCTGTAACATCAGCAGCTTATTACCACCTAAAAAACATTGCTAAAATTAAAAACATAGTGTCTAAGGCAGACTTGGAGACTCTTATACACGCTTTTGTCTCCAGTCGGTTAGACTACTGCAATGGCTTGTTCACAGGTCTCTCCAAACAGGCTGTAAAACAGCTGCAGTACATTCAACATGCAGCAGCTCGAGTCCTGACCAGAACTAGGAAGTACGACCACATTAGTCCAGTTCTCAGGTCTCTGCACTGGCTTCCTGTTCCTCAGAGAATAGACTTTAAAGCAGCTTTACTTGTGTACAAGTCTCTCCATGGTCTCGCGCCAAGGTACATCCACGACATGTTTGTGCCATATGAACCGACCCGGACTCTGAGGAGCACAGGGACTGGACTCCTGTTAGTGCCCAGAGTCAGTACTAGACATGGGCAAACTGCATTTCAGATTCATGCGGCTAGAGTCTGGAACCGTCTTCCTGAGAATGTGAGACAGGCGTCTACTCTGGCATCTTTTAAATCTAGGCTCAAAACAATTCTGTTTAGCTGCGCATATACAACTGAATGATTTTATCTTTTCATCTTTGTTTTTATCTTTAATCTTTTTAATGCACTGTGACTATTTATGATTTTAGTCCCATCTGTGATTTTAATGTTTAAAGGTTTTTAATTTTTGTGATTTTATTTTTAATGTTTTTAATATATCTTGTGCTCTTAATGTGTTTGATTTATGCATGATGTGATAGGGGATGTGAAGCGCTTTGCGTTGCCTTGTGTAGGAAAGGCGCTCTACAAATAAACGTTGATTGATTGATTGAAGTCTTTGAACGTTCGTTATTCGGCCTATTTTAACATAAATTCACTTTTTGGGTCAAATAATTGGTGAACTACAGTCAAGCTTTTTCAGAATTGTATCTTGACATCTTCTTGCACCACTTTGAAAACTTTACCAAACATGAAACTCTTTGGCTACAACCAAAAACATCCACAACTTGTCTTTCCTTGCAAACACCTTGTGCTTCAAGATTCTTTACGACGTTTATAATTCCACTACAAACATCAGAAAAGGGCAAGGAAGGTCAACAAAGTAGGTATTTGCTGAACGGATGCAATTTCCGTCTTAATCTTTCTCTAGTACTAGTATGTCATTGTGTCTGTCTTTTTTCTTTTAGAGAAGGAAACTAGTGCTGTAAAAACAAGAGAGATTAACACACACACACACAAATTAGTGCTTTATTCACAGCAAAAATCAAACAAGCATTTTGCCAAACACAAAATGATGTAAGCCCCGAGCTAAACACACCCCATGCTCAGTTCACAACCAAGATACACACAAACAACCTCTTGTTCAGGTGGAAGCACTCAGCGAAAACAAATAAATCAGTTCATATTCTCTTTGTCTGCCTTTTATGACAGAATGAGGAGAATTCTTCATGGGAGTGTGGGATTCCTTTCAGTGCATTGTGTAAAGTGTTTCATAAGGAAAAATGGATAAACGTTTTTCATGCCATAAGTTGTATCCAAACATGTGGAATAGAAATGTGGGCAGCATACAATATACTAGCATGTGTTTATCTGTTTGTGTTTGGGGTGTGTTGCTAAAATATATCCAGAATACACACCAGGTCCTAAGATCAATCACTGTTTCATACCAAGGTACTTCTAAATTTACTGAACCACAAAAGACGACAACAGTATTTTTTATTTATATGGCGCTTTTCACAGATCAGAGTCACAAAGCGCTTTACAATTGTTGTGGGAATTTGTCTCTCACTCCACACAGAGATGGGAGTGAGGTCGCCATACAGGAGGCACATGCCAGACCTATTTTACTGTACATGTTTTTAGCTTTAGGGGCACGAGGAGGAAACTGGAGCACTCAGAGGGAACCTACGCAGGCACGGGGAGAACATGCAAACTCCACTCAGAAAGGGCCCGTTACGACCGGGATTCGAACCCAGGCCACCATGCCACGGAATGAAGATGGAAACCTGCTCCTGTTTCACATTTAAGACAACATTTAGTGCTTTTGTTCCGAGTTACAGGATTCATGTGCATTCCATAAGTAACTGTAGCTTCTTGATCTCTGCTCTACTTCCTGTACATTTCAAATCATTTCCCAGCTTAATTTTCAAATCATGCTTTGAGAACTCTGGCTTTGTTGTTGCATGATAATATCATCAATATTGAAGGTATATACTGTAGAAGGATTTTCTACTTGCGGGTGGATCATCAAGACTATTGGTCCTGACTCCTGCTATATCGTCAATCATTCTGGTGATACATGCTCGTCAAATCAGACCAGAGTTTTGTTCTAAAAGTGGAGAGGGCGATTCTTTCCTAAAATTTCCATATACCTTTAAAAGATTTCTAGAGATTAATAAGTGGTGGACCCAAACAAGTTAATGACACTTTATTTCACCCTTTCATATTAGCGATACTGCTTTTCAGACTGTAATCACGTCTTTGGCGCTGATGGATTTGGCTCTGTGTGAAACCAGCTCGAGTGTTTGGGCAGAAGCTGTGCCTCTTCATCAGCTCCCATCTGCTGTGGCCAGATCAGGCCTGGATTAAGAGGCCTATTCACATACATTTGTCTTCCATCCATCGTCTCTCCTCCTGTTTGTCGATTTCCGTGTAGTTCTTTCTCTGGAGTTATTGCTGGATCATTACAAAATACACTGTGCAAAGGTTTGAACTTAATGCACTAAACAGTCCAAACCGAACATGCAGGTTGTCTTGATTGTACTGGAAAAAAATGACTGAATAATTTGAGTCTTGAAAAGGTCCCTCAAGGCTGTTTTAATGTAGTCACAAAGCATTCCTGTTTTCTGTCAAGGCAAAGCAGACTTTCTCTTTATGTGCACTCAACATAACACCCTCGAAAGGACGTTTATAATTAGCCATGACATGTTTAACTAATACATAATGCAACTTAGTTTAAATAACTATAGTGCTAGATAGTTTCATAATGACCTACACTATAAGTGAATGCTCTTGAAATAGCAGCAAGTCCTAGTTTTTATTTTTATTATTTACTTTAGAGCAGAGAAAACGATCCAAATCAAGCAGATTCAGCAAACTTCAACCAGAGGAGACAAAGCTCACCACCAGTTCAAATTACTATAGTCATTTTTAGAATTACGCATTTTGTTTGTATGGATAGATGCTGCTGCGCCCATCTCTATTTCTTATTCAATTTGGTGACAGTTCAAAAGCAATATAAAGACTTCCAAGACATTTTGTGAAATTATAATTAAACTTGTTAGAAGAAATAGATCAAGAAAACAGGTTAGAAGTCAGAAGCCCCTCTATGAAGATGTTGCAAGGGCATAGCTTTAGTTTGGTCACCATTAGGAAAAAAAGCCTTCCAGAATCAAATCAACTAATTAATGTAAGTAATGACCTATCAAATGACTGCCTTATAACGAATACAGTTTGTTATAAGGATAAATCTGGACTGAAGTGGGATAAACAGTGCAGCAGACTCGTCACGGCTCGATTTAGCATTGGTTCCTCTAAAATAGCTGACCCAAAATCTGTGCCCTCCTCCCATTATCCTCGTCTTCCCACATCCAGAGTCTGAGTGAAACTGAATATAAATTTGGCCCCTTTCATCCACAGGGAATAAGGACATCCACAATCCGTTTTATATTTGTTTATTAAAATGAAGCAATATATATGGAGTCAAGAAGTGTCCTTTAGCTGTAAGTGACCGGCAGCTCCGGCTGGGTAATCCTGTGGTTATTTGTTATATATGCAGATGTGCTGTTTCCAATGCGCACAGTTTTGGAAAAAAGGTCAATCTGAACAAAAATAAAAATAAATAAACACTCAAATTACACCAGCCTTTTTTGTATGTAATCACACTTATATCTGGGAGTTACTTTCAGAGCCATCTCAAGTAAAGACAGCATAGTGTGGGAAGGATGTCTTAATCTTAACCGTAACATACCAAATCCTTGCAGACTTTGACTGGCTCTTTGAACACAGTCCAGACCACAGCCTCATGGCAGTTGGGTATTTCGAGAGAGCCCAGGTAACGGTAAAACCTTTTACGGTTTACGTTTGGGAGGAGATCATCCAGAGAGATCTCGTCTGATATGGCAACAGACTGACCTGAGGACACATGCAGAATGCTTATAGCTGAAATATCTTTGCTAAAGTCAAATGATTAAATAAAACCCTTTTCTGTAATCTTTGAGAGGTAGGAAGTAAGGGTTTTCCAAGATTCAGGTTTTCCAGTTGTATCATTACTTGCCTTAAAGTACAAAAATAACAAAAATTACTCAAAAACTCCTGGTTCTCCTCGTTTGCAAATTGTCTTACCTCAATGAAGAATCCATGTTCTGCAATTCCTTCCGAGTCTGCCAAAGCCGCTGTGATGTTTCCGTTGTAAGATGACTTTATACTCACAATATGGAACATTAATTGACATTTGCAAACGTGGTCTAGAATATGGATAAATCGTTAAGTCTCGACCAAAGTACATCTACATCTCTGAAGAGCACAGGGACTTTGTAACTATGTGATTATTTGTGTCTTGTGGACTGAAGCCCTTTGTATTGTCCTGTAAAGTCCTCTTCAAATAAAGATTGAACTATTGTCCAACACATTTGCAGTGAAATTATCATGTACCAGATGTCCAGTACAGTATTCACAACAATCATGGTAACACAGAATCAGGCCAGATTTACAGTCCAGTTACCTCCATAGGATAGCGTCTCCCATCCACAGTGTGTTCAGAGCCCGGGACAGAGGCACCGTTTCCCCAGTGGAGGTGGAACGACAGGCTGCTGTAAGGTTCAGACAGACCCCCTCCAGACACACCCACACCACTGCCAAAGGTCACTATCACTGAGCAGGGATTCACAGGTTAATAATAAGTGGGGGTCATCACCTGAAAAATAATTCTGGTAACTGTGGCAAAGTTCTAGGTCTAGATTGCCAATTTCTCTATTCCCATTTCACATTAACCAAAGTGGCAATGAAAAAAATAATAGTGATAAAGAAATCAACATGCATGTCTTTCAGACTTATGGCAGGGTTGAATCTAATTTTGAAGATTATATAATGGACACAATCTATTGACTACATTTAGGCATTCCCAATATACCACCATGAATGACCAAGTATAAATGTATATTTTTTGCATTTAAAAAGAAAATCATAATCGTGGAGCGTTTACCTGTACTGCCGGTGTTCGATCTTTGTCAGGGCAGTTTTAAACTTGGTGAAAGTGAAGGGGGTCAGGCTGCTGTCGAATATGGCCTTTTTGGAAACTATGTCAATGGGAGACTGGCGAGAACCAGCACAAAAATCAGGAGCCAACCTCGGCCAAGTAGAAGAATCTGGGAAATATAGGTTTACATTTTAGCAAGAAGAAAAGTAAGAAGCTGTCCAAAAATGCTAATATAAAAAGCCTGACTTACTGCAGGATGGATCATGGTAACACCACTCTGAGTCAGGAAATCAAACATAATATTTTCTCATCTTAGTTAGAATAAATAATTGCATTTTAACTTATTTCACTTACCAACATTGCTGCTTGCAATTTGGACACAAAACAAACGCAATCCAAATCATTGTGCAATCGTCCAACAATGCCAAGACCTTGAAAGATAAATTATTGAAGACACATTGCTTAAATTCCGAGTAATTTACTTATTTAAATTCCTTTAGTATCACCTGCGCACAGACTGTACTTGAGATGCAGCTGCTGTCTCTTGATTGGTCTTCTTCTTCTTTGACTTGTTTAGCAACCAGTTTAGGAGCATTACTGCCTCCTGCTGTCTTATACTGAGCTCACAACCTGTCAAGCCGAACAGTAATTGTGTGATTGGCCTAAAATGATTACTTGATTATTGACAGTCGTCTGGGCAATATATAGATCCTTATTTTCACTTGCCCAGTCCAACAGTACTACCTTTAAAAAACATTTAACTATTCATGTCAAACAAAGCACCCAGCCCACTTACAATCAGTTTCATTATTAATTCTGGGGAGGAAATGCAAATAGGCTCTTCCTTCATAAACCAACCATGTCCCAGAGATTATATGGCTATTTTTTGGATACAGAAAGAATTAGTGTGTATCACCCATGGACTGTATATATTAATGTATCACCAGACATAGTTGAAGCCAGATTCAATTGACCTGAGAGCATTGTTATGTACCTGCCAGGCCAAGGGGTAGCGCTGTGAGGGTGTGACAGGAAAACACCAAATCTGACAACAAAATGTGCAGTACCCCCTCACTTTATGAAGGTAAATAAAGATGTATTGTAAGCGCTAACTTCTGAAACGGCATGTGAAGAAGATAAAACTGACTAAAATGGCACGGTGGCTGAATGGATAGCACTCTCGCTTCTCAGCAAGGAGGTTCTTGGTTCGAATCCCGGTCAGAACAGGGCCTTTCTGAGTGGAGTGTGCTTGTTCTCCCCGTGTCTGTGTAGGTTTCCTCCGGGTACTCCAGTTTCCCCTACCACTAAAAACGTGCAATAGTTCAGGGCGAATGAGTTTGTGAGTGCGAATGTGGGACAACAGATGCACATTAGACCATGGCTACAAACCGTAGAGATGTGTTCAATAACATGCACTATCCCAACCAAATAAATAATAATCTCTGATAAAACACTGAAACCTGTTATAATATGAGAGTGTGCTTTTTCTGTTACTTATAGTAATGGAATATACTTGGTCTATAGTTCTGAGATCATCGCGTTTCCTTGCAGCATCCCCTTACAACTGACAAAATAAATATAATGGAAAAACACTGAAGTTGATACGAGAAACCATCTTTGTAAGCGGACATGACGGGAGAACGATTAAGAGAATTACTCATTTACCACCTTGATTCACCTGTGTGTGGAGAAAGGGGTTTTCTGGTGCATGGCATGTGACCAACAGTCAAGCAGGATAATAAATATAATGTGCTAAAGTCTCTTGACATGTTTTTGCACATCACATAAAGCAGATTAAATATCATTGCTTCAGCAAAATGATCAGGAGCTAATGTCAGCCAAATCGAAGCATCTACAAAAGTTGTACATTTTAGAGGAAAGAAAGTAGTGAGAAGCAATCTTAAAACAGTAACATACTGGGCCTAACTTACTGCACGATGCGTCATGGTAACACCAGTCTGTGCCAGGAAATAAGATGTGTTATTTTCTTATCTCGACTGGGCGACAGTAGCTCAGTTGGTAGAGCATTGGCCTTAAGGCCAGAAGGTTGTGGGTTCAATTCCCACCTCTGCACCTTCTCCACCGACTCCCACTGATGACTGCTGTCGTTGTGTCCTTGGGCAAGACACTTAACCCCACTTTGCCCAAAGCCCCCACTGAAAGATCAAGGCTATGCTCACACTCAGAGAGCAGCCGTCCTCCTGTGGACTCACCACCTGCAGAGGATCAGTGAGGGGCTGGTGCTATGAGACTTGGGTGGCATCTCTGACTGCCACCCCCCTGACCCAGAAATGGATTAAAGGGTAGAAAATGGATGGATGGATGGATGCATTTTCTTATCTCAGTCTCATGGAATAACTTTGCTTATTAACTTATTTCACTTACTAAAAGCACTGATTGCATGTGGGACCACTAGTGTAAGGCACAAATCTATCAAAAACATAGTGCATTTTTTAAACAATGTGATGACTTGAATTAAAAAAAAAAAATTAAACATTAATTTAATTCTAAGGTCAGCCCAAAAAACACTTAAAAAGTAAATTAAGCACGGAAATATTGTAACCAAAGGGTGCAGCTGCCTTTGGCCTTTTTGATTGACTGCGGAACCTTCCGCAGTCAACCATTGGTTTTGTATTTCTTTATTCCGTCATTTTTTTTGACACGTTTCACAGCTTTCACATTTTCAACAATTTCCACAAGTTATACATCAAAACGTTCCACATGTTTGGGAGATTATTGCTATTACTTTTGGGACTTCAGCGATTTCCGGTTTTTCCGCAATCGGACAAAAATCTGCATTGAGAATTCTGCAATGCATTTTAATAGGCCCATGCATTTTAATAGGACTTCAGCTCTTTCAGACATTTCTACAGTTTCAATGATTCAACAGTTTCAAGGATTCAACAGTTTCAAGGATTTCAGCAGTTTCAAGATTTCAAGAGTTTCAAGGACTTCAACAGTTTCAAGGACTTCAGCAGTTTCAAGGACTTCAGCAGTTTCAAGGACTTCAGCAGTTTCAAGGACTTCAGTGTAATCATGCAACCTAATAGGGATTTTTCCATGTAAACCAGTATAATGCAACTTAATAGGGATTTTTCCATGTAAACCAGTATAATGCAACTTAATAGGGTTTTTTCATGTAAACCAGTATAATGCAACTTAATAGGGTTTTTTTTCATGTAAACCAGTATAATGCAACTTAATGGGGATTTTTCCATGTAAACCAGTATAATGCAACTTAATAGGGGTTTTTACATGTAAACCAGTATAATGCAACTTAATAGGGTTTTTTCCATGTAAACCAGTATAATGCAACTTAATAGGGTTTTTTCCATGTAAACCAGTATAATGCAACTTAATAGGGTTTTTTCCATGTAAACCAGTACAATGCAACTTAATAGGGATTTTTCCATGTAAACCAGTATAATGCAACTTAATAGGGTTTTTTACATGTAAACCAGTATAATGCAACTTAATGGGGATTTTTCCATGTAAACCAGTATTATGCAACTTAATAGGGATTTTTCCATGTAAACCAGTATTATGCAACTTAATAGGGATTTTTCCATGTAAACCAGTATAATGCAACTTAATAGGGATTTTTCCTTGTAAACCAGTATAATGCAACTTAATAGGGTTTTTTTCATGTAAACCAGTATAATGCAACTTAATGGGGATTTTTCCATGTAAACCAGTATTATGCAACTTAATAGGGATTTTTCCATGTAAACCAGTATAATGCAACTTAATAGGGTTTTTACATGTAAACCAGTATAATGGAACTTAATAGGGGTTTTTACATGTAAACAAGTATAATGGAACTTAATAGGGGTTTTTACATGTAAACCAGTATAATGCAACTTAATAAGGATTTTTACATGTAAACCACTATAATGTAACCTAATAGGGGTTTTTACATGTAAACCAGTATAAAGCAACTTAATAGGGATTTGTACATGTAAACCAGTATAATGCAACCTAATAGGGATTTTTCCATGTAAACCAGTATAATGCAACTTAATAGAGATTTTTCCATGTAAACCAGTATAATGCAACTTAATAGGGATTTTTCCATGTAAACCAGTATAATGCAACCTAATAGGGATTTTTCCATGTAAACCAGTATAATGCAACCTAATAGGGGTTTTTACATGTAAACCAGTTTAACCTCCTGAGACCCTGCGACCTCATACGAGGACATTACATTTTTGCCTCTTGGCACAATGATACTCAATTTTTTACATCCTTGACCTGATGGCCACATTTAGGGACACTGCCCGCGCCATCTTGTGGTGATATGATAGAATTACACTTAAGGCAGTAGGAAAGAAATGGCGGGAATATCAGCAAAACACTTCTACAAGAGTTTACAGAAGAAAAATGCCCCAGGTAAAAATTCTATCAACATTTTATGAATGAAATCAATTTATTTATGCACAATAATGTCTCTAGCTTCATATGGAGTTTGAAATTTGAAAAATTTTGATTGTAGTAGCAGGCTAGGATGTCAGTAAAAGTGAAGCACTCGTTTGAGGACGCTAGGACTATGTACCGCTATCTGTTTAGCTAACCGTGTGGAAGATTTAGATGAAGTTACAGTTGTAAATAGTTATTTTGAATCACACATTTGCTCAGTTATGTGGTTTACAGTTGTAAATAGTATATTTAAGTACTAAGTGGTATATGCTAAGTATTGTGAAGTGTTGCTAAATGCTTAATCATAAACATTATAGCTAGGCTATAGCTAGCACATGATAGCCAAGCTATGATGTGTCACTGATATACTGTAGATTTTGATGTTGGTTTTTAAAATTATCATTACAGGCACACTTTCATTATCAAGAGCAGAACAATTGCTGTTGGCAATTGCAGACAACTCTGAGAAGTCCTCTATGACTTCTCAGATGGGGATGATTGCATCATCATCTCATACTTGTCAGTCAGCTTCTGGAGTTTCCCGCGGGGAGAGGCGGCGAGCTGAGGTGGCCATACTCATTGCCCCCCATCTCAGCCGCCACGTGTTGGAGTTCTCCCCGGTGAATGAGAGGGTCGCGTCCCTCCGCCTCCGGGTGGGGGACAAGTCTCTCATTGTTGTGACGGCCTATGGGCCTAACGGCAGTGCCGAGTACCGGCCTTCTTGGAGTCCTTGGGAGGGGTACTGGTCAGTGCACCGCCCGGGGACTCTGTTATTCTCCTGGGGGACTTCAACGCCCATGTGGGAAATGCCAGTGACACTTGGAGAGGGGTGATCGGGAAGAACGGCCC